CAGCAGTTCCTCAGCTGCCATTGTCTCCCCCAGATCAAGGTGGTGAAGTTCTCCTACATGTGGACCATCAACAACTTCAGCTTCTGCCGGGAGGAGATGGGGGAGGTGATCAAGAGCTCGACCTTCTCCTCTGGAGCCAACGACAAACTCAAGTGGTGAGAGCAGGGCCAGGGGCTGAGCACTGGGGATTTGGGGGCTCTGGGACACAGGGAATCCATGGGAGCATCCAGGGCCAGGGGCTGAGCACTGGGGATTTGGGGACTTTGGGACACAGGGAATCCATGGGAGCATTGTTATCCTGCCCAGCACAGCCCCAATGCCTCAGCAGTGTTTGCACACAAACCAAACCAGATTTATTTACCTTCAAAACAGATTTCTGTGCCAAATCCAGGTGAGGCTGGGAGGGTGCACAGCCCATTTCACCCTCCCAGTTCTGTGGGGTTCACAAGGGAATTTTTGCTGCTGTGAACCCCTTGCTGTAAATGTCAGTTTATTTGTGGAGAGCACAGGGATGAGGGAAGTGCCAATGTCCTCTCACTGCTCCTGCCCAGCAGCTGCTGCCTCTTCAGCATGACCTCGTTTGGGGCCTTTCCCTTTCCTCTAAACCTCCCTTATCTTCCCTGAGGCCTCAGTGATTTCCAGTAACTCCGAGTGGACTTTGCTCAGAGCCTGTGTCTGCTCTGAGCCCTGTCCTGCTGCATCCCTGGGCTCTCATTCCTGCTTTTCCCCCCATGTGGAGCAGTTCAGAATTTCCCTTTGCAGCACAATCCGTGGTGAAGCAGCCCCAGGACGAGCTGTATCCACGGGATACAGTGACAGCTCTGTCACTGTCCTTTGGGTGGCAGAGCTGTGCTTTCCTTGGCCTGCCTTTGTTCCTGTCACCTTTGTGCCCTCCCTGCAACATCTGGATCTGTGCATTTGGTCCCTGTGTGTGGGAGCTGTTCATTATCTGTCTGCTTTTTGTTCTTGCTGGATTCTGTGTCAGGTTTCAGGTCATGGAGGAGCCTCTTCCTGCCTTTTCTTCACACAGGAGGAGATTTTCCTTTTAACCCTGGTTGTTTTTATTTTTTTTTTAAGAACCACCGACCTTCCAGAAATCCCTTGTTCCTTGCAGTTGCCTCCTGTGGAATTTTACCAACCATTTCTCTGCATTTGTTGTGCTTCCTCCAACCCATTCCTTCCATCTTATTTATTTCACTTTCCTTTTCTGAGGATTGGTACCCAGGGGTTTTCTCAGCCATTCCAGCCCTTCTCCCTGGGGCTTTCTTGTTTTGCTCAGAATTCCTGGGTGTTTTTCTCAGTGTGAGGGTGCAGCTGTACCCCAGCTCTGCTCCTTTCACCCTCCCTGTGCTCCCCTGGGGCTCAGGGCTTGTTACCAGCCCTGGTTTGCTGGGGAAATGTGGGAATCCCACATGGAAATCCCTTCCCTGACCCTGCCCGTGCCCCTTTGCAGGTGTTTACGTGTGAACCCCAAGGGCCTGGACGAGGAGAGCAAGGATTACCTGTCCCTGTACCTGCTGCTCGTGAGCTGCCCCAAGAGCGAGGTCAGGGCCAAGTTCAAATTCTCCATCCTCAATGCCAAGGGGGAGGAGACCAAGGCCATGGGTGAGTGAGACCCTTCCGGGGGAAAGAAACCTTTCCTGAGGGGGGGAAACCCTTCCTGGGGTGAGGGAAACCCTTCCTGGGGTGAGGGGAAACCCTTCCTGGGGTGAGTGAGATCCTTCTGGGTGGGGGAAACCCTTCCTGGGGTGTGAAACCCTTTTAGGTGGGGGAAACCCTTCCTGAGGGGAGAAAACCCTCTGGGGTGAGTGAGATCCTTCTGGGTGGGGGAAACCCTTCTAGGGAGAAGAAACCCCCCTTTGGATGTGTGAGATCCCTCTTTATGTGAGTGAGACCCTTCTTGGAGTGAGTGAGACCCTTTTAGGTGAGAGAAACCCCTCTTTGTGTGAGTAAGACCTTCTGGGGTGAGGGAAACCCGTCTGGAACGAGTGAAACCCCTTTTTGTGTGAGTGAAACCTCTCCTGGGGTGGATGAGACCCCTGTGGGGTGGATGAGACCCCTGTGGGGTGGGTGAGACCCCTGTGGGGTGGGTGAAACCTTTCCTGGGGTGGGTGAGACCCCTGTGGGGTGGGTGAGACCCCTGTGGGGTGGATGAGACCCCTGTGGGGTGGGTGAAACCTTTCCTAGGGTGGATGAGACCCCTGTGGGGGGAGATAAACCCCTCCTGGGGTGGGTGAAACCACTCTTTGTGTGAGTGAAACCCTCTGGGGGACTGAAAGCCCTCCTGGGGTGGGTGAGAGCCCTGTGTGTGTGTGTGTGTGTGTGTGAGAAACCCCTCGTGGGCTGATGTGGGCCAGGCTTTGGGCTGTGCTGTGGCCTGGCCTGGGTTAAGCCGGGCCTATCCCGCAGAGAGCCAGCGCGCCTATCGCTTCGTGCAAGGCAAGGACTGGGGATTCAAGAAGTTCATCAGGAGAGATTTCCTGCTGGACGAGGCCAACGGGCTCCTGCCAGATGATAAACTGACCCTGTTCTGTGAGGTGAGCCCTGCTGCCAGCCCTGGGCAGCTCCTGCAGCCCCAGGGAGCCCCAGGCAGGTCCTGCAACCCCATTCAGGACAGGTCCTGCATCCCCAGGGAGCTCCAGCAAGGTCCTGCAGCCCCATTCAGGACAGGTCCTGCATCCCCAGGGCACTCCAGGCAGGTCCTGCATCCCCATTCAGGACAGGTCCTGCAACCCCATTCAGGACAGGTCCTGCATCTCCAGGTAGCTCCAGCAGCTCCAGGCAGGTCCTGCATCCCCAGGGAGCTCCAGGCAGGTCCTGCAGCCCCATTCAGGGCAGGTCCTGCAGCCCCATTCAGGGCAGGTCCTGCAGCCCCATTCAGGACAGGTCCTGCAGCCCCATTCAGGACAGGTCCTGCAGCCCCATTCAGGACAGGTCCTGCAGCCCCATTCAGGACAGGTCCTGCAGCTCACAGCAGGGCTGGCCCTTCCCTGGCTCTCACAGGCTCAGGCTCACTGCTGGATGTCTGACCCTGCTCTGGCTGTTCCTTTTTCCCTTCCCTGATCCATCCCTCAGCTTCCTGCTCCATTTTCCCTGGAATGTTGATGGGATTTGGGCAGGTTTGATGATCATTTCTCAGTGCTTTGGTGTTCCCATCCCTCAGTTTGTGTTCCTTGATTTGGGGCTCACTTGGGATAATCCCAGCCTGAACTGCCCTGCTCACTGAAGGAGAGCTTCTCTTTATTTCCTTCCATGTGTCTGCACAGCCAGCACAGAGAAAAATGAGAGAAAAGGGGATTTTACAGCAATCACCATTTTCTGCTCGTTGTGTTTGTGTTCTTCTACAACATCATTATTATTTCACTTGTGCTATTCCAGGCAAAGATGCAGCCAGTTATTTCCAAACCCAGAGATTTAAGTTGGAAAACCTTAATGAGCAAATAGAAACTCTAATTTAGTGTCTTCAGAGCTTCTTGTGCCTCACTCCCATTGTCTTTTTAACTGCAAGCCCCTTCCTGGAGCTGGTTTTTGGGTTTTTTTTTTGCCAGAAGAGAGCAGAACAAGTTGTTCTCTCCTTGCATCTCCTGCACTGTTTTTTTCTGGGAGTCTTTTTTTTTGCTGTGTTTTCTTTCAGGAATAAAAGAAGGGCTTCAAAGTCCTTTGACAGCTGGGATTTTGGGGGGGTTTTTGGTTTGTTTTTTGGGGTGGGTTTTTTTTTTTTTTCAGGTTTTGGCCATCATAATCATGCACGTATTTAAATGAACAAACATCTCAAGGATGTTTGATCAGCAGCAGAAATTCCTGGGGATGGAGGGAGCCCTTCCTTGAACACAAAATGGGAGGAGAGAGGAGATCCTGGCATGGCAGAAACAAATCCTTTGGTTTGGCATCAGGGCTGGGATCCTTCTCCTTTCCTTTATCCTTTGCTTTTTCCTTTGCTTTTTCCTTTATCCTTTCTTTTCCTTTCCTTTATCCTTTCTTTCCCTTTGCTTTTTCCTTTTTCTTTTGCTTTTTCCTTTGCTTTTTCCTTGATTTCCTTGGGTCTGGTTGTGTTTTAGGGTGTTTAACTCTCCTGGAGTGGGGTCTGGTTGTGTTTTGGGGTGTTTAACTCTCCTGGAGTGGGGTCTGGTTGTGTTTTAGGGTGTTTAGCTCCCCTGGCAGGGGAAGCAGGGGGCACTGTGGGGTCAGACACTGCCCCTGTGGGTCCCTCGTTCCCCTGGTGTGCTGGCTGTTGCATTATTGATTGGGGAGGCCTCACAATGATGGAAGGAGAAACTGGGTCAGGTGTGGTGTGTGGAAAAAATCAGGAAAGAGCAAAAATCCAGTTCCACTTCCTTCAGAAACCTCCTCATGGATTGCATGGACGTGCTGTCAGTGTGGGGCTGAGGGGGAAACCTGCTGGGATCTGGGATTTGGGATGGTGCAGGTGCAAAGAATCCTTTAAAAGTGGGGAATTTGGACCCCCCTGTGCCTGAATTGAGGGTTTTCATTGCCCCGGGCTCTGTGGGTGCCCCGGGCTGCCCTGCCCTGGCCCAGAGCAGGGCTGTGCAGGCCCGGGGGCTGTCCCTGAGCGTGGCTGTCCCCAGGTGAGCGTGGTGCAGGACTCAGTGAACATCTCGGGCCAGAACACCATGAACATGGTGAAGGTGCCCGAGTGCCGCCTGGCCGACGAGCTGGGCGGGCTCTGGGAGAACTCGCGCTTCACCGACTGCTGCCTCTGCGTGGCCGGCCAGGAGTTCAAGGGCCACAAAGCCATCCTGGCAGGTACCTGGGGGTGTCCTGGGGGGCCAGGGAAGGGTTTGGGATCTGGGAATAGGGGGAGTGGTTTGGTGTGGAGCCACAAAGCCATCCTGGCAGGTACCTGGGGGTGTCCTGGGAGGGGTTTGGGATCTGGGAATAGGGGGAGTGGTTTGGTGTGGAGCCACAGAGCCATCCTGGCAGGTACCTGGGGGTGTCCTGGGAGGGGTTTGGGATCTGGGAATGGAGGGGGTGGAGTCACAGAGCCATCCTGGCAGGTACCTGGGACTGCCAGGGAGGGGTTTGGGATGGAGGGAATGGTTTAGGATGGAAAGAATAGATTGGGATGGAGGGAGTAGTTTGAGATCAGAGAATGGATTGGGAGTGGATTGGAATGGAGGGAATGGTCTGGGATGGAGGGAATAGTCTGGGATGGAGGGAATGGATTGGGATGGAGGGAATGGTTTGGGATGGAGGGAGCTCAGAGCTCATCCATGGCAGGGACACCTCCCACTGTCTCAGGGTGTTCCAAGCCGTGTCCAGCCTGGCCTGGCACACTCCAGGCATCCAAGGGAGTCTGGAAAACCCTGCTGGGAGGTGCAGGGAGCTGGGGAGGTGCTGGCAGCAGCATCCAGCCCTTTCCAGAGGGTTCAGCATTCCCAGAGGGTTCAGCATTCCCAAGGAGCTCTGTTCCCTCTGTTCCCCACAGCACGATCCCCCGTGTTCAGCGCCATGTTCGAGCACGAGATGGAGGAGAGCAAAAAGGTGAGGCCTGAGGGAATGGTCCTGCTCAGGGGGGTCCTGCTCAGGGG